TGTTTTCTGTTGATTTATAACGTTAGAATCGTCGTACTGATGGTCGTTTCATAGCTCAGCAGTATCGTCTTTAGATCCATTGTCCCTCATCTTAATATTTCATATCCTGTTATGAGCCTCAGAATTTGGGTTTCGAAAATCCTCCAGCCCTCGGTTACAAAAAGTACTCAGTTTGAGTTCCAGTCAGTGAAATTTCCCTTTTTATGCAGTTGGAAAAAGCATGTGAAGCCAATTAACTACTGGTTTTCAGAAACTCCTGTGAAAAAATTTATCGTCCCTAAGTGTTTCAAAAATTTTAAAGATTTTTAAAGATAAGCTGTAATTGGGACGCTCCCGTAAACAGATAGCGCGTAATCGGAGTTCAAAAACAAAGGAGCTGGCATAGCTATGGTTACCGTTCTTGGTGGGAAAATTTGTGCTTCTATGAAAGAAAAAGGGCAATTGTCAACATCATTTGGAACGAAATACTTTGCCACTGAAATATAATCAAGATCGCCGGAACAGTCGATTTGGATTTCCCATGTTCGTGTTGTTACTGGGATTTTTCCAGGCTCCGTTTTTATGCGCTTTTTGCAGCTATGCAATGCGGAAAACGCATATTGACGAGAGGTTGCCTGCGTGTGCGTGTGTGTGTGTCTGTCTGTCTATGTGTCTGTGTGTGTGCTGGGTCTCTGTACCGATTTTTCATCTCGAGACCTACAAAAGCTATAGGGCTGAAACTTTGGGAGCTTAATCTACATGGGTGTACCGGCCCCCATCCCGAAAATGTGCGGTCTTACCCGCGTGGTATCCACGTAGGAGCCCGTGAAAGTTTTTTGCGGGTAACTCGCGATCCAGAAAAGTTAGAAGGCTGAAATTTTAAGAGGATGTTCCCGCCCACGTAAGTCTAAATGAGCTCAAACCTAGCCTCCGGGTAAGCATGGTACCGCGTACGGGCCCGCCAAAATTTTTTCCGGGTAAGTTCATAACTCGGGAGTCTGGATAAACTATTACCAGCAAAAGATGTCATGTTGGAGAATCGAGTTAAAATACTGGGGATTCCCTGGGACACAGTAAAAGACGCGCTCGAATTTCGATTACCCAGTTTTGACAAGGCTGATACGTCAATAACAAAAAGAAAAGTTCTCCAAACAATTGCGAGCACATACGATCCATTGAGAATTTTGGTACCGGTGACAGTCAGAGGAAGGCTTTTCTTCCAGTCTTTGTGGAGAGATAAGGGCGACTGGGATGAAGAGCTGAATTCGTCTCGTATAAGAGAATGGAAGATAATTCAGGAAGAGTGGGAAAAATATTCACGCTTCATTTTGCAACGCCAGCTTGCATCAGCAAGTAAAGATGGCAAAAGAGAGCTACATACTTTTGTAGACCCATCGAAATTAGCTTGCGCAGCGGCAGTTTATCTTAGAACAGAAGAGGATAGCGAGGCAATCAATACATTGGTATATGCCAGAAGTCGACTGACTTCGCTAATGGAAATGACAATATCAAGGTTGGAGCTTATGGCGATATTAATCGGGACTAGAGCACAAGCGTTCGTGGAAGAAGAGTTGCAACTTCAAGTAGAACGAACAATAATCTGGTCGGACTCTAAATGTGCAATAGGATGGATTAGTAGCATAAGAGCCCTACCAGTGTTCATCACCAATCGTGCGAAGGAAATTTGTCAACATGGAGAAGTCCAAATGCGATACATCCCGAGTATTGATAACCCAGCCGACATTGCAACAAGAGGAAAAAGGCCAATAAGTTTAGCAACAAATAAGTTGTGGTGGAATGGACCAGAGTGGCTTCAAAAAAGAGAGGGATTCTGACCGGAAAAAGAGACGGTATCCATTCTTAGGCACGAAAATGATGAGTCAGAGTTAGCAGTCGGAATAACATGGAAGAAAATGGCTGCGAGAATGTCTTCTTGGACCAGATTGCAAAGAGTGGTAATTTATGTGATGAGGTTCGTGAAATTCTGCATCTACCAAAAGGGTTCTCAGAAAAAACAGAACAGATGGGTGACGAAACTGCCTTTCTAATAGACACGGATGGAAAAACAATTAGCGCTCGGGAAATGCGTTGGGCCAGAGTTATTATAATAAAGAAAGCTCAAAGGGTCTATTACTCGGACGTTTTCGACACGATAGCAAGTAAAAGGCTGCATCCATTAGTTAAACAATTCAGACTAAGAATAGAGGACGGCGTGATTCGTTGCCGCAGAGGATATGAGGAAATGAATCTAGCGGACGAAACAAAGACCCAAATTTTACTCCCAAAAATAATCCGGTCATCCAGTTAATCATTCAAAATTTACGTGAAGGAGCTTTGCATGGCAGAATACATTCAGCACAGTTGAGGGAAGTTCTCTGGATACCAAGAGGGCGCAGGGTAACAAAGAGGATAATCAGTAAATGCGAGCTGTGCAAAAGGTACAGTGGTATACCAATTGTTTTCGTATTTTTATCTTAATTAAGAGGCAGTTCATAAAATCGAGAATAGGCCTCGAATTGAGTGCAGATCTTGTCAGACTTCCTTTCCTGTCCTCGCTGATGACTTGACTCGTTGTCCTGTGCTTCAGTTTTTCTAAAGGAGGGTGCATAGTTGAATAATACGAAATTGTATGAATTTTAATCGAGTAGCAGCAAAAAACTATTTGGGAGGTACCAAATCCTGGAACATGGGAAATTGGTAGAAGTACTTGATTTACGGCAAAAAAAAATATACGGTTGGACAAAGTTCCAGCCGAGCTTCAGAAGTAACAGGCAGTACAGGCCTCAAATGCCTTCTGGGGGAAAGGAATAAGGTAGTAACCTTTTTTTTTTTTGTTTATTGACATACTTTATCATTAACGTGGCTAAAGTTTTCGCACGAGCTGCGTCTTTGTAGCCACAACATGGCGATCCTGACAAGACTGTCTCATGCACATTGCTTCAAACCACTGAAG